TGTACTTAAAAAGGAGACCAAGAACAGAATTAAATTCAATCTTCATTCTTTAATTAAGCAATTTTTTTTTAGTATGAAATCGTACATTAACATTTGATGTAGTATTTAAATATAATGAAGTTCCCCAGCTAAGGATAAATTGCCAATTTCATCGAAGTACCACTTTATTGTCCAATTAAAAATCTTGAAATAACAGACTTTTTTTTTACACCGCAGAGAGCGTTAATTATCCCTTCACTTCTGATACACCAATTTGACAATGGTATCGATCCATTAGTCTTCACGTGCCTTTAAATATATTCATTAAAGATACGGGGCGATATCGCGGGTTAAATAGCCTTCTTGAAGCCTCTTTTTCCGACACCCTGTACGTGCCACTAGACACTGACCTAGAAGCGTCGAGAGATTACGCCTTGGCGATAACCGTATCCCCCAAGAGTCGAGATTTATGCGCAACTTTTTACACCGAGGATCCGTTTTAACGAGCACGCCTCGCCTTGTGGCCGGCTATCCGCGAATTTGAGACCATTTAAAGCGTTTTCGAGCTTGTCCTATGCCAACGTTTTCACTGATACCCATCGGGCCCGGCTGTTGGAGTTATTGGGTATCCTCAACATTTTCAATGTCTCATTAATAATCAGACGTTTATGAAAAATCATAATTCTCAATTTTTCTCAATTAAAAGAATAACAAAAGTATCCTCCTTCAAGTATTATAATGTTCCACATTTTACAGATTGCATGTAGTATGTGTTCTTCATATTAAAGTTTAAATATATAAATTTTGGTTAAGAACGATTAGCGGTACAGACAAGCTTGCTTATAAAATTGAGATGTAGAAATTATCATTTGAATCGCCGTGGGATTATTGTTTCATAATAGACACAAGGAACTTCACAAAGTTGCGATAAGTTTAATGAGCTTATTCAGCAAGTTTAAAGCAAGCAAATACTCCGTGTAGATATAGATCAGTTTAAACGATGCTTCAAGTTAGCAGACGGCTTGATTCTATTTAAATCCTGGCGGCTTACTTCTATTCTTCCTCTTCCTAAGCTTAGAAATCGAAATCATTTTAAAATTTTTGCAAAAGCCTCATTGTCGGTATCGATTCAGAATTAGAATATTCGCTTATTTAAGAGATTTTTTTAAGCACTCCATGCCAATGCACTTGAACAATATTTATGTTGAAAGTATGTTGAATGGAGCAAGTTATGAACTTTCTAACAATCGATCCCGTGATACATTCAAAATTCTTCAATAGCTGCTTAAGCTTGAATGCCGATAGATTGTACAGGC